AGACAGTAAAATAACAGGCACCAAATTAATGTCTAACTACAAATTGTGACAACTGATACAAAGGGAAGGGTCAGTGAGAGAGACTCCAACACCACAGCAGGCTCCTCTGAGGAAGAGACATTTAGCTAAGAAATCAAGGGTAAGTGAGAATTAACCTCGTGAAGGCTGGGAAAGGACACTCCTGGCAAAGGGCATGTCCCAAAGCTCTGGAGGAGGAAAGAACTCGGTTCCTCGGGAAACGGCAGGAAAGGCAACATGAGCAGGGAAAGCCCTGGGACAACGCTGAGGAGGAGCCAGGGCAGAGCCCACAGCGCCTTAGAGAACACGCTAGGAGACTGAAGTTTACTCAAAATGCAGTCGCCATTGACTTCCCATTTTCCAGACAGAACAGCCAATTCTCCGTCCCTCCTTCTCCACTTCTCGGCAGCACTGGACACGGCCGACTACTCCCTCGCCTGGGCTTCCTGAAACCACTCACCCAGGCGCCTCCGGTGGCTCCCCTCTCGCTCGAAGAGAAGGGCTCTGCACCTTGCAGGGCCCACAAGGGTCTCAGCCCTTCGCTATCCACACTCCGCCACTAGATCTTGACTTTGCATCCCAAGAAAGCAAACCATACCATATATTTTTTTAATCCTTCACACCTTTTCCTGCAACAATTGGGCAGGACAAAATCAGTGGTGGAAAGGAAAAAGGGAAGTCACTTGTTATCAGTGTTAGAAAGTTCTGCAGTGTCATATCAAATGTTGACAATTGATCGCACAGCTTACAGCAGCTGGCTACTCATCTAGTTGGGCTCCTAAACACCAGTTCTACTGTCTGAACAGTGGAAAAAATATAACTTAGAATAATAACAATGTCCACTCCACAAGAGGAATCAGGAATACAGGTGAATAAAAACCATCCCCAAAGTTTCCAGTCTGGTTGGGGCCATGTGGGAACACTGCAGTTGGATGGCAGGAGGCATGGACTACAAACCTGTCCCCTCGTTTTAAGGTTTAAAACATCCATCAAGTTGGCACAAGTGTCATTCAATCATGCTGTGGGACAGATTTATCATCCGTACAGTGGTAACCACACAGTACACTTCGTGTCCTGGGGCACTGGGAGTTCAGTTGGACTGCAAATACCCGAGGAAAGGTGACATTTATAAGCTGTAATGGCCCATTACCAACCCGCATGGCCCATACCGACCCAACTCAGCATCTACCCCTCAGCTGAACGTGACCTTCGGAATGCTGAAATGTGGCCTTGAGGGACTCATTTCTACATGGCGCAGTGCACAAGGAGAGTTGAGGTACAATTATGCCCACCATCACTTAGACAGATTTACAGAAGACTGTGCATCTTGTATGTGAAATTAACCACTAGTTAGGGTCATTTTTAAAGAAAAGAATACATCAATTTTCAATGCATCTAAGAGAGCAGCTTTTAAACTTACAACTACAAATGATAAATACCTAATTACTAAACATTAGCTTCCACAGAAAATAATGGTTCTCACCCTCAGTGGGCATAACACCATCAGGTCAGCTGGTTAAAAATGCAGATCTGGGCCCCTTACCTTCACATTCTGACTGAGGGGGCTTGAGTGGCACCCACAAATTTGCATTTTTAATTACTGCCCCAGGCAATTTTGATGTGGTGGTGTGCGCTTCATGGGAAATTCTCTTCTAGTTTGCTCAGAAAGTAGAAAACACTGACTACCTACCATATTAACAATTCATTTCTTCAAACTAACCCTTTAACAATTGAGACTTTCTGAACTGAATATTCCTCATAAGAGTTCAAATACTATTTTCTGCTCTAACTCCAATACACTCCTTGCTCTCACATTATAAGGTTTTCGTCAGTGTAATCTTAAGAACCATCTCCCTCTGCTCACTGAGAACTAAAACCGGTATGCTGGACAAACGTAGACTCTAATAAATGCAAAGAGTCTACAGATAATTGTCACAACTTCGAGAGGTGCCAAAGAAACTGATTTGCCCCTGTCGAAATCATGCAACCCATGATTTCAGTTATAGCATCCTCTAGAAATAAGTATTTAGCACATGTCTGCTTGCTAGACTTCCTCAAGAATGAGAAAATATTTGGATTAACTTGGATATGTGGACTCCCCTAGTTACGGCGTCATAAACTCAAGGCTACATAGCACAATGGTTTTCTTCACATTTATATTCAAATGCTCTAAATAAAGACGACAAAATGTTTTAGCATTTTGCTGAGTGTAAAATTTTATTTTAGAAAAAAATCAAGAAAAAAACAAACTAGAAAGGCAGAGAATTAGGGAGACTATTGTCACAGTCCTATTAAGTCTGGAAAAAACCCCTGACTATTCAAATTTCTAAAAAACCAACAAATTTATCCCAGAAAAGAGCAGCACAGAATATTGTAATAAGCCGTAATCTTTAGCAGGTGTCTCACAATGCTCTACAAACACCCAGTCAGGAACTGGGGAGCGCCACTGCCCAGGGTCCTACATCCCCACGCTCTCCTTGTTGTTCACTAAAGCCAAAACCCTAATTCAGCAACTACTGCTAAATATGCTAGAAATAAAGTGATAATGTATAATGATCAAATTGGTTCTAAATATTAAAAGCAAAGTTTCTAATGGTATGGAAATATATCTAAAAATACAAAGATAAACAGAAAATTATTTGCTCTATACTTATTAAAACTTAAAAAGAGATTCAGATATCAGTTTAAACTTTTTCACTTTGACGTAAGACAAAACCAGTTCCTAAATATTTGATATATCATATATATTATAAGCATTAATGAAACAACCATCCTCCTATAAACCGGGACTGACTCCCAGCACATCAAGAGAAGCACTCCTGATCCCTGGTTCAAGATCAGGGCAGAGGCTGGAGTCTCAGGCTCGATGTATCCCATGCTGGAACAGCAGAAAGCAAACAAGCACATATCAAGAAATCTTTATAAATTCAATGAAGTCACATGGGACAGATTACTGTCTAATAAAGAACTGGCTGATTATTGTGAAACTGTAATTCATTCTAAGAACAAGCTGTAATTATTTGACCCCCAAATCCATCAAGTTTATTTAAATATCATGCAGGAAATTTGTGCCATGCATTTACTCTCAAATGCCCTACATACCTACAATCTATAATTTCTCCAAAATGTCACCTGGCAGTTCAACTTTCTTGCTCAGAAAAGCTAACTCAAGACATACTGCACTTTGCCATGAACACTGACCAACCATCGATAAACGTTTATGTAAATTACATATTAATCGTGTTTAAGGCCTGTTATGCGCAAGGCTGCAGGCTAGCACGGTCAGTGTCCTGAAGATCACAGTTCTAAACACCAAGCTCATACACGCAACAGTGTCTTCTCTTCAGTTTTCCCTTCAAAACACACAAAGATCAGACCAACTGAGGCACCTGGCATATCTAAAGAGTTGTACCTAAAATCAAGTGTAACAGCTCCCTATTAAAGAAACAGGCCGACGACACAGCAACCCTGCAGTTACCCACTCACCAGATTATAGTTTATCTTCCTGCCTCAAGATATTTAAAGCTTTAAAAAGTGATTCTTTCATTTATCAGTGAACTGATGTTAGAATTCATATATAAAATGGAAACTCTTTGAAAGTCACAGGCGAATACCATTCTACTCTAGAAGGAGCATTAGGAATCAAGAGTAGCTCATTTGCACTAACATTATGTTTAGTTGATCCGTATTTCTCATGTCCCCAAGGAGTCAACCACACAGCCAGCCAGCCACCATATGTCCATGACCAATTCTCAACAGAGGAAAAAGACACTTCTAAACACTGCTGATTCAAAGAATTCAGAGCTCAAAAACAGTAACAAGATGAGAAAAGATAATCATGTACGTGTCAAGCAGCGTTTTTGCTATTTAGATCATAAAGAAGTATCCGTCTTTTGGTTTAAGTAGCATTACAGTAAATCAGTAAAGTTTATTTTGAAAACATAATTTTGAAAACATTCTGGAGACGTAAAACTAACTAGAAGGGGAAGATAGAAAAATAGGAATAAGTGTTGCCTATGTTTTTAAAATACTAACTGCATCAAAACTTCCAGTGATGATGACTATTTAAATGCAATTTCTTCTTGATACAGGAATGATTCCTGATACCTACATTTTGACAAAAAAAGACTGAAATCTTCTTCACATTCAATTTATGTTTTCTTTAAACACTAGTTCTGCACACAGTATTAAAAAGAAATATCAGTAAAAAGAAAGTCTATCACTGTGACTATACCACTAGGAGATGAAGCAGAATAAGAAAAATAAAATTTACTGTTTATTTCTTTGTTATACAAAGAAAATCAGAAGTGGTCCAAAACACTCTTATGTCCTTTCTGACATAATGAGAACATACAAAACAACAGCAAGCTAGCTTAGGAGTCCAGCTCAGGGTCAAGTTTTTCCACTTTAATGACTATCTCCGGAGCTAACACAGCACCAGCTGGCTGGTTCTCTGCCTCTGATTCGGACAGCGCCTCTTCCTTTATCCTCACAGGCTTAGTACCAGCCTCCTCCTCTTCATCGGAAGACTCATCGAGCTCCCACTCATCATCTATGTCCATTTCAAATACTCTCACATGACGGAGATTTGAGCTTAACTACAGAAGAAAAGGCCAAATAAAGAATTTTACAGTAAATGGTTTATACACTATATATAAAGAATTAGAAATCAGAACAAAGAATGGTTTTATAGGAAAGGTATTTTCCCATCAATTTACAACAAAATCACTAAGCTTAGCCTGCATTTTATGTAAAAGGATTGCCACATACAGCAGTGACAATTTCACGATGATTAAAATCTAGAATTGTTATTACTTACTTAGTAAGCTCTCAGGACAAGAGAACTAAACAGCTGAGGACACTACATGCTCATAATCAATAAAAAACAAAAACCACATAATGTTTGCACTAAAAGGACCTTATAGATCCAAAGTCACTTCTCCTTGTTACTCTTAGTCAGTAGACAATCTGTAGATACCTACCACACAGGACACTTTCCGAAAACCATTCCCAGCAACATACTGTGCTTTCATACTTTCCAGTAATCTCCAATGCTTCTCAAAATGCATGGTACGTGTGGGAATAGCACTGCACTGCTCATCCAGCCTAGAGAGGGGAAAAACCAACCCAGGAATGAAAAAGGGATCCTCTCCCTGGTTTACTAAGGGTGGTATCAGAGTCAATCACGGGTTCAATTTCTACCAATACTCCCATTTCCAGTAGAATTCTACCAGCCACTGTATAAAAAAGCTGTGATACTATATTCTCTGAAAATAACTGTAATTCCAAATAGGCAGAATATCATCTTAGTAAGGTTCTTGATTCCCTTTCAAGGAAAGCAAATGGACACACGTTTAAATTAGAGAAGGGATCTGCTTATTTAAATCTCAGTCAACTAAAGCCATCTCTTGGAACTGGACGTGTTCCCTCCACATAGCTTCTGAGGTCCTAATTCCAGAAGGAATACAGTAGGGGCAATCTAAAATAATTAATTCTATTACAAACTGGGGTTAATGCTACCCTTGAAAACAGAACTAACAGAAGCCCCCTTCTCCACTCCAAATAATTCCCCACCTTGTTCCAGCAAATACTTCTTGATTTACTAGTAAAGCAAAGGGACAGAAGAGCTGTTGAAGCCAGTATTTTTTAAATAAAAAATAGGAGTATTTCTGGTCAGCTGACTTTACGATTATCCCTATTAACCATTTATCTAGGATACCTAAAGAACTAAAATGTATGATACACATTAAAAAACATTTAACTGTTCTATCAGAAAGATGATCTTACTAATGAGTTAGTTACCTTGCAGAGTAAGTCCCAGTGAACTGATATTCTGTAGAATCTTCACTGTTATATACTAAAGACAATGGCAACTGGACCAAGAGTCGATCTCTTCCTTCACGTCCTACAGTGTCTTTAAGAACTACTGTTACAGTTTCATCATCATAAAACTGTGCATCTAAACAACTGTAGGTGCTAGAATTGAAATAAGCTGTGTTATTTCAGAGATGATCCTAACTACTGAGAAAATATTGCATGCATAACATTATACTGGTATCAAGCAAAAAAACTGATGATAAAAAAATCAAGTGACATTCTATACAATAATGTTTAAAATATATTTTGCACTAAAATCACAGCTACCTGTTGGACTGATTATTCAAAAATGTAACTAGGCCCTAAAAACAGGTAATCATGAAAAAAGAAAAATCTGTGAGGTTGGTTCACAGTTCCAGAACATTCCTGACAACAATGGTCAGGCCTTGAGCCAAAGGAAATTCCATGAATGACATCTTATATATATATGTTGAGTAAACAGAGTTAACTGGACTGAAAAGTAAGATTTACATATGAAGACACAATAACTTCAAAGACATCATCATAAAAAACTTTTACATAAGGAAAAGAGAGTAAGGAAAAGATCAGCCTATGATTAGTGTCAGCTCTTCCCTCTGCAAAGCCTCAGGGATGACTTAGGTATGACTGACCTTTTGTATACAAAGAAAATCCCAGAGCAGTCAGAAAGATGCAACCTCCTATTTTTGTTGGTCATAGCAAGAACTTTAACCATCTGTCCTGTGGAACCACATTTCTCTCTTAACAGACCGGAAGCTCAGAAGTGTTAATTACAGGAAAGTATGCTACATAAATTCCTGCTGCAGGGCAGTCAGGTTCCAGTCAACTCTAAATCAAATCATTCTCTAAGTATAAAATGTGTAACCCCCTATATTGCAAGTGAGGAGGTCCTAGGTGTATCATCACTGTAACTGAGCTCACCATATTCCCGTAATTTGCATTTATTAACATATACACATATCATATATATATACACATCTCATCTAAACAAGAGTCAAGATTTACCTTCTTCTCACTTTTTCGGTTGTGGCATATGTGAAGCTCCCAAATTTAATAGCCACTAGTCCATTACTTACAGATCTTGAAGAAAGAAGGGGAAAAAAGAGACTGTGGAACAACCTGGATAGCCAATAATCTAAATGCTTGAAAGAACACGATTGTCAGGGTTAGTACATTTATCTAAACAACAAATCCCAGACCAAAATACCATTACGCTCACTCCACAGTACTGACAGCTAATTTAAATACCTAGATAGATAAACCTAACATCAAAATGACAAGTTGGTTTAAAAATCTTATAATCACCAAAGTAGCTAGATACCTTAGAGAATTAAGGACATTGGGAACAACTAAATTATTTCTCTTTGGCTACATCGGTATCAAAAAATTTCCTTCAAATTCAGGTTTAAAATCTTTTAAGGGGCCAGCCTGGTGGTACAGTGGGTGGGTTCACACGCTATGCCTCGGCGGCCCAGGGTTCACTGGTTCCAATCCTGGGCACAGATCTACACACCACTCATCAAGCCAACCTGTGGTGGCATCCCGCATACAAAACAGAGGACGACTGGCATGGATATTAGCTCAGGGACAATCTTCCTTACCAAAAATAAATAAATAAAACCATTTAAGATACTAATGGCCTTTTGAATATGAATTATCCTTCAGAACTTTGGGATCTAAAAGAATTCTCTATAGGTGAGGCCTCTTGTTTAATGAAAGTCATACTTAACCTGAGGTAAAAATCCTTTCTATAAGGAACCCAAAATACAGCTTTGAACTTCTAAAGGTTTATGAAACATAATCCTGAGTGCTCTGATCTTATACTTTTCCGAACCCTAAAAAAAATCCTACATGTAACAGTTAGATACCAATACAAAATTAAATAATCTAGAAGTAGAAGGGATCATATAGCTTCCTGATCTGGCATTTTCATCTTAATGACATGAAAGCTAAGACCAAGCACAGTTAAACGACAAGCCTAAAGTCATAAGGTAGCTTAACTAAAACCTGAAATGTAGGGAAGAAAAGCTGCATGTTTTATTATTAAAAATAATAAAATCTTATCTCTTATTCAAACTTCAGATTAATACTTACTGGGAAATATCAGTATGTCTCCTTAAGATGCACATTTTATAAAGTGAATCTTCTAAAATAGTAAAAAGAAGATAGTGTAGATTTAAAGTTTTATTATTCCACCTAAAGAAAAAAAATGAATGTCAAAACATGATACTTAGCTACAGATGCATAGAATACAACTGTATTGTTCACAGGAGACAGGAGAGAAACACACACTTACAGAAAAGGAAATTTGAACAATCTACGTGTAGATTCCTCACTAAAAGAAAAGAAAAAAAGGTAAGAAAAATTTAAATTGGCTGCTGAATTATACTATCCAAAAGGTAAACAGAATTACCTTCTAGCATCTCTATACAATGGAATACAGATTGCTTGATTCATCGATTTTCCAATTACATCCTAAATAAAGTAAGATTTAAAAATATTATTCGAGCATTTACATACACACAGATAAATACTCTACAGAAAGTGACTGACAGACGGACACTGTTCAAGTCAAGTAAAAAATAATCTCTATCACCAAACCTTTCACACAAGAAACTGTAATGTCAGTCATAATAGTAAGGAAAAGAGAAAATTCGGAGCTGAAAAAGACCTTGGAGACAAGCACATGGCAGGTTAAGAACCACGTCCCCTGTCTCATGCCTTCACTCATAAACAAGAGACACATGAGCTCTGTGACTAAGACCATTTATATTAAGTTTGCTCTGGAGACAAAGAAAATACTAAAGATGCCAACACTTCCAATAATCTTGTATTCAATTATAATTTACTGCATGCAAGAAACTAGGGTGAATCATATGAAACTGCCATTTTTGTTAGTCAAAAACAATTGACTATCAGCGTGTTCACAGGATTCGTATGGTTCATCACTAAGATCACTTACATAAGTGAGCCACATATTGTATATATCTTGCTTCTACACAAAGACATGAATTTCTTTTAAACTTACTGCTGGCTTTTGCAAACACTGATCAATAATGTTCTCCATCCGCCTTTTCACAAAATGCAATGATTTTCGAGGATAATAAGGAAACAGCAAAGGACTTTCTGGTTTCAAACAAAAACAGAAACAAAACCAAAAAAAGCTGTAACAAACCAGATGATTAGGAGAAAATAATCTACTGTTAGAGCCAGCTGCACAGCTCATTTGATGATGGAATTCTCCCTGGTCACTTCATTATGTCTTCACACAACCTCACTAGAAATGATAGTGGCCTTCTGCCTTTTAACTTCCCCACTGCCAGCCCACTAAAAACAACCACACTTACTACAAATGGAGTCCCTGCAGCTTATTAGTCTATATTCTATCTTTCCCACCAAAACCCAACAGTATGCTTTTGTTGGCTATAAGAAAAGGATGCTTAGGGAACCAAAAGACATATAATGAAACAAAGTTCATTCTTCTCTACTCTTTGCCATAATGAGTGACAACAAAAATCCAGTATTTGTTTTCGGAAGAGTATGATACTAAAAACAAAAACAGGAGACAAGAAACTAGTGTTATGAAAATAAGCGCTTTACTTTTGAAAAGGCTACTTTTTCAGTAGAAAGTAATATATAATCTAGCATTTATTGACACCACATACGTTAGGTTCTCTTTTTTTTTTTTTTTTCTTAAAGATTTTATTTTTTTTCATTTTTCTCCCCAAAGCCCCCTGGTACATAGTTGTGTATTCTTCGTTGTGGGTTCTTCCAGTTGTGGCATGTGGGATGCTGCCTCAGCGTGGTCTGATGAGCAGTGCCATGTCCGCGCCCAGGATTCGAACTAACGAAACACTGGGCCGCCTGCAGCGGAGCGTGCGAACTTAACCACTCGGCCACGGGGCCAGCCCCACGTTAGGTTCTCTTTTTAAAAAAATTGACACCGGAACTAACAACTGTTGCCAATCTTCCTTTTTTTTCCTTCTTCCTCTTCTCCCCAAAGCACCCCCCCAGTACACAGTTGTATATTCTAGTTGTGTCTCTGGTTATGCTATGTGGGATGCTGCCTCAGCGTGACCTGATGAATGGCGTCATGTCCACTCCCAGGATCCAAACCAGCGAAACCCTGGGCCGCTGAAGCAGAGCATGCGAACTTAACCACTCGGCCACGGGGACGGCCCCAGGTTCTTTTTCTATCTGTTACTTCTATTGCTTACAACAGGTGTACAAAGTAAGGTTCATCCTCTCCATGTTACATATGAAAAAAAAATGAGGCTTAGGAAATTTAGGCAATTGCCCAGTGTGAAAACGACCGAGGATCTAGACCTGTGAATCAAACTCAAGTCTGATTCCCAAGCCCACCCTCTTCCACTGTGCTCTGAAGGCCTCCCTCACTTACGGCATCTCACATCCCAGCCATGCTGAATAAAAGGAATTTTAGTCATGTTAACATTTTAAGTTCCCAACAGGTGACAGATGCTGTGCTATCACAGAAAGATACTTGATCTTTGTCCCCTGTTCCTGGCACAGAGCTCTTAAACCCTTGGAATTTCCTGACTGATGAGGGTGACAGGAGCATCTTTGCTTTTAATGCGGTGACTCTTGGCAGGCTCCAGGATGGAGGCTGGTTGCCACAAAAACCAAGCCTTTGATTAGAAGCTTCAAACTTTCAGCCCCATCCCTCAACCTCCAGGGAAGGGAGAGAAAGTGGAGTTGAGTTCAATCACCAATGGTCAATGATTTAATCAACTGTGCAGAAATAATGAACACTCCATTAAAAAAAATCCCTAAATGAGAGGGTTCAGAGGGCCTCCGGTCAGTGAACACACCAAGGTGCTGGGAGGGGGTGTGCTGGAGAGAGCCTGGAAGCTCTGCACCCCACCCACTATCCGGCCCCGTACATCTCCTCCACTTGGCTCTTCCTAAGGTGTATTCTTTACAATAAATCAGTAAACCTAAGGCAAGTGTTTCTCTGAGTTTGTGACCCATTTTAGCAAATTATCAAATCTGAAGGGGGAGAATTGTGGGAACCCACACCTTTGTAGCCAAGGGGCACAGAAATGTGGGTAACCTGGGGACCTGACACTTGTAACTGAGCGGTGACGTGAGGGCAGTCCTGTGGGACTAGGCCCCGAAACCTGTGCAGTCTGGTGCTAACTCTAGGTAGTTGGCATCAGAATCGAACTGTAGGACACCCACTTGGTGTCAGAATTGGTCTCAGGAGAAAAACCCTTCTCATTTTGGTATCAGAAGTGTTCTGAGTAAAAACAGCTCAGATGCCAGCATACTGGCTGCCTGTGCACTATGTGCCAGGACCATTCTAAGCGCTTTATCTACAGTAGTTTATTTAACCTTCACAACAGCTTTCTGAGGGAGGCACTGCTATCATCCTCATTTTACAGATGAGAAAACTGACGCACAGAGGTTAGACTATTTGCCCTCAGCCACCCCACCAGGAAGGTGCAGAGCAAGATTCCAACCGAGGCAGGCCAGCTACCCGGGCACCAGCTCTGACCTATTATTCAACACTGACTCTGTCAGGCACCCTAAGCGAGCACATGCATCAAGTAGTTAGCACGTGATTTTTGCAAAGTGCTAGAAAGAAGTTTCATTCAAGTTTTCTTAATAATTCCATAATGACAGTTAGTATTACTTCCTACTAGACTAAGAAACTGGCAGATTAATGGGCTTGTCCAAACTCACATACTAGCAAAACGTCAAGCATTTAAGAGATGGAGTTAATCTGAAGTGTATGTTGGTTCAACGTGAGGCTTATAGCTAAGATTCGGCCTTTCTGTTCCGCCACAGAAGATGTGGGGGAAAAGAAAGGTAGGATCTACTTTTAGCCCAACAAAGTTCCCACAACTGGTATTTGCACAGTACAGTGACAGGGTCCAGGTGCCACCACTGCTGGCACACTGTCATCAGCACATCCCAGGCATCCTTCCTCCTTGGGCATCCTGCTTAAATACAGCAAATGAGTTCAGTCAGCTGTACCTTCACTCTCCCTCAATTCAATAGCTAACTTACACCAATGCATCTCTCTAGTGATCATAAGACTCTCAAGCAATACAAAATATGTCCTGCTCTGACAAAGAAATTGGGCTTATAAGGTTAAAGCAAAAGAGCAATAAGCAAAGTTCTGGGCCTCAGAGAATTCTCTCCCTTCCCCACTCACTCATTCAGATAAGCAGCAACCAAATAAAGTGGCAGAGATTACGACTGAGTCCAACTAAAAACTCAGGCTCTGAAGTTAGCAGAAGCCAAGCTCTATCACTTGCTCGCATGCATCATCTTAGAGCTTCTCTAACCTTCAGTTTCCTTGTTAGTAAAATAAGGATAACAAGCACCCATTCCAAAGGTTCTTGAGTAGATTAAAGGAGGTGATACGTGTACGTGGCTATTGCCTTAAGGATCTAGGAAAGAGCTACACTGTGGTCAGATTACTCTTTGAGAAAGCAAATAAATTCTTTCTTTAAAAATATTGTCTTTGGGCTGGCCCCGTGGCTGAGTGGTTAAGTTCGTGCACTCTGCTTCGGCAGCCCAGGGTTTCGCTGGTCCGAATGCTGGGCGCACACCTACCATTGCTCATCAAGCCATGTTGAGGCGACATCCCACATGCCACCTTGAAGGACCCACAATTAAAATATACAATTATGTACTGTGCGGCTTATGGGGAGGAGAAGGAAAAAATTTAAAAGAAAAGAAAAAAAATATATATATATATAGTCCTCTAAAATGGTAAAGTTCTGACATATTTAATGATTGCTATTTTGTGTTGCATCCCTAATAATGCTGGATAAATAAAATTTTACTATATCAACATCTAGGATCCTAGAGAATGAAAGGCATAACAAGTAAACAAAAAAACTACAACCTCAGGAGAATACGATGATGCATTATTATACTTTTAGAAATTAACAGACTAAGATGGGCAAACAGACTTCTCTGACCAGTAGGCTCTACACTTTTCTTCCCAATATCCTATTTTTTATAGGGTGGAAAACAGACAATATAATACTTAAGAATAAGCAATCTTACTATATCACAGTTAATCTAAGAATGTTTTTGATCACGATAGCATCATAACACTATTTGTTATTCTGCTGTTTCTCTAATCAAAACAGCCACAAAAGATAAATCTAAAGGACTATTAGGTAAGTATTGAGCAATTGTTCAGCAAAACTGTTAGCCGGTGTACTGGTCTCAGATAAAAAACACATGGCCCAAATCTACTCGGCTCATGAAATACCTTTAAGGTGGCTGCTGTTTTGAAGGAAGTCATACCACTGGTTTCCCTCTGTGTTAGGGGGTGACACAAGATCATCATCTTCATCTTTTAAGTACTAGAAATACAGAATTAAAAATTTAAACTTAGTAAACCAAAGAATTAGGCTCCAAAAATTGTTTATATTTAAGATTATTCTATTTAATAAGTTATTTTATTTTACTGCCAAGTCCTCTGAAAGTGCACTGCTATTATTCTAAGCGAGGCGACCAAAAATTGCTAAATGCCAAGCAACTAAACAAACTGCAAACTACTAAAAGATTAGAATGCTGTAGATGAAGAGACCATAAACTGAGTTTAAATTTCACGTTCCATTTTCATGAAGCATATTTTAAACTTATCTATGTAAGTTTATAAATTAATTTGAGAAGTAAAAACTATCAACCTACTCTATGGCTGTAGTTCTCAAAGTGAGGTCCACAGACCTCTCAGAGCCCCCAAGACGCTTTCAGGGATCCAGGAGGTCAATACTATTTTTATAATAATACCACGAGGTTATTTGCCCTTGTCACTGTAATGCCAGCTGTACGGATGGCCAAAAGCATATGCAGGGAAAACTGCTAGCACCGTCACCAAGAGTCAAAGGTGTGGCCCCAAACCACACTAGCAACCACTGTCTTCCTTTTGGCCACCTACTCAGTTTCACCAATCTCTAATGTTAATAAAATTTAAAATTACTAATTTCATCAAATTTCAACCCCTGAATACAAGTCTTTTTTAATATTCTGTATGATGGAATTCAGAAGTATATAAAAAGCACTTTTGCTGCATACCAAAGCATGATGGCTACCATGAGGAAAAGCATTTAGGAAACTGTAGCTGTAAGTTAAGCCAGGCACTACCATGTTGTTAACACAATTCCATTTTTAATGCAAAGAATGACTGGCAGACAAACTATGATTATTCATTCTTTGGTATTTGGCAGATATTTTCTTGAAAAATGAAGTGAGCCTGTCATTTTAAGCAAAACAAATGACAGTCTTTGTTGCCAATGATAAAACTTAAACATTCAAACAAGAATTAAAATTTTGGAAAACCTGTACCTGCCACTGTGTGCTTGACAGCTTCACAGTACTTAAAGGCTGTCTGATGAGACTGATGATACTACTGAAATCTGACTTTTGGATATTGTAAGATACTAACACTTGTCAGAATTTGGTGTAAAACCAAAGAATATCCACAATTATCTAAAAAGCTATTCAAATACTTTTCCCTTTCTAACTACACACCTGTGTGAGGTCAGACTTTCCTTATACACATTGACTAAAACAACATCACAACAGATTGAACGCAGAAGCAGATATGAGAATCTGGCCGTCTTCTATTAGGCCAGACATTAAAAAGATCTGCAAAAATATAAAACAATGCTACTCCTCACTAAATTTCATTTCGTGAAATACAGTTATTTTTCATTAAAAATAAATATTTTTTTATTCTGTTTAATTTCTAATACTTAATAATATCTACCAGTGATAGATACAACAGAAAAGCTCTTTGGGGCCCTCAATAATTTTACAAATGTAAAAACTGTTCTGAGACCAAAAAGTTTAAAAACTGCTACTCTTTGGTTATTTTACTAAAAGGGCAGGGCTACTATAAAACTTGACATTACTTTCCATAAACTTTGGATAATAAAGATTAACACTATTTATTAAAGTTTTAAAATCAGCTTTTAAAAATAAAAGTAAGTCAATAACTAAGTTCAACCCAAAGCTCATACCTGACCAACTTTTTCAACGTTAAAGTATTTTCCTTTTCGATTATAAAGGTCTGGAGCCTAGAAAAAATACAGTTTAATACTTAAGTCAACTTACAAAAGAAAAAGAAAAAGATGCTATATTTAAAACAAAAACTTTACTTTTTAGGAGAGCTGATCGTGGCAGTTACTCTTTTTTTTCTATGGACTGTAAGACACACATACAAATAAAAGTCCAATTTATAGGCTTTATGTTTAATACCTAAGTACTGCTATTAATTAATAGTTCAAAAAGCATAACTGCTAAGGACTTCAATTAAATTGGATTAAATTTGATTACTTCTTAACATTTACTCAGGTTTATTGCAATTATTTTTTTAAAAAGCCAGCATTATAAAAATACAAATTTCCTACCTCATTGAAATGTTCAGTAAGAAATTCAGCAACAAATGTGATATCTTTTTGAGTCATCTATCAAAACCAAAAAGGAGCAAAAAAACCAAATCAAGATAAAAGAAAGCTTCCCAATAAAAGAAATACTATGTAATAATATATGTGACTTTTTTTTTTTTTTTACTATCTACTAAAAGCCATGGGACAAACAGGCAAAGTTCCTTCAAAGAAATTATCAATAGAAATCCAGATTACACAATTCTGAAAATATGAAATCCTAAGGCTCTGAGAAGCACAAACTTAAACGTTTTAAACCCATCTTCCAATCACTGAATTCGACAGCTACAGACCTCCTTATGGCCTAGGGTTGTTTGTTGCTTATTTTATGCCGAGTGCTAAGACTAAGTTTGCAGAGCCCCTCCTTTGGGAGTGGAGGACTGTAGCCCAGATAAATCACCTCAACCTGAGTTAAGGGCTGTTGGCTTCAGTGTTGGCCTCTGCTACTTGCAATGGCCCTACCTTCACGGGACCCCAGTTTGTCAGCCCTGAAAAACTTACACATTGAGGTCCCACCCAACAATTAACATATTTCATCTCCCAAAACAAAGCTAAGAGTGCTGTCAGAGAAACAGCTCACATGAACTTCCCTGGCACCCAAGCCAATCATCCATAGCACAAAAGATGCATCTTGTGTAAGAGGTGAGATCCCTTACTCACCTACTCCACCCAGGCTAATTTTAATGCTCTCCATTTTTCCAGGCTCAAAATTACCTAATCTATCCGAACCTGACAGTTTGGGCTGGGGGGAGGATGCGTGAGCTGTAGGAATCGAGTGGGAATTTTGCCCTATTCTCTAAGATCTTCCTGGAAGGAGATTCCATTGCTACTTGTCACAATCCTTAGTCAGAAAGAAACTGGTGCTTACCAGACATCAACACAGGTACTAATATCTAAGTACTACATATTCAAGGAAAATAAAAATGCATTTAATTTAAGGAAGTTAAAGTAAGGAATACAAACACCCTGTATTATATAGATTATTAAGTCTTATATAAACATGAAAATCACAAATTTAGCTAGCTATAATAAAGGTATTCTGTGAGATGAAAAAGTATAAAAAACATGCACATTTCTTTAAAAAGAAAAAAAAAGGGCGGCTTACTAAAATCTGTCCTGTGTCTACAGCCTGACATCCCATTAACCAGTAACTGTATATGAGTACCAAGATGATCAGCAAAGCTGAGCTCCACCAGGGCAATATTAACACATCAGGAAAAGACGCTACTATGTACTACCTTATTCAGCTCGGGAAGCACATGGTCTTCTGTCATTCTCAACATTGCTGGAAATATAAATTTAAAAACTACCTTTAAAAAAAAACCTACAAACATAATTTTAATCATAGATGCATTTCAAAAACTAAATGTGTTTCACTGGACTAAATCCTCAATTTGCAACAGCTTCTTTTCACCAAGGAAAACTTATTTTCCTTCTAAAAACTAAAGGGTGAAGAATTTAAATTTGATTTCTATTTCCAGGTTCAAAATGGTTGGTCTAACCATCCTAAACTATTATTTCTCATTTTCTCCTTCAACTCAGTCCACTGCCACTCCAGACAGACAAACCTAAGTGCTGCCCTGTGCTGAGACTACATGTGCAAGAATTCTCCCTTCTAACCCAGTGACGTTTCTTCTCTTAAAATCTGCAAGCAATCCTTTCCTCCAAAAGCCTTAGAATATCAAACAAATGTGTTTCTTTCCCTTGGGCTTTTCTGCTGCATGAAGACATTTGTTCTAAGATTTATGTATGTATACACACACTTACACATATATAGTCATGCACTGCAAAATGACATTTCCGTCAATGACAGACCAGAGACAACAGTGGTCCCATAAGATTAGCCTAGGTCTGTAGTAGGCTATATCATCTAGGTTTGCGTAATCACACTCTACAATGTTCACACAACAATAAAATCGCCTAATTACGCATTTCTCAGAACGTATCCCCACCATTAAGCGATGTGTGACTGCATACATTTATAGTTTCTTTATAATCTAATATCTGTGGTTGACTCCTTCTGCCCTTTCATAGGGTTGTCTTCATCAGTACTGTGTTTTTTGTATTATGTCCATCTAAGTCAAGAAGTATGCTGCACGTGCTTTTGCATAGTGTTTGAACATACTTCTTGGTCAGGAAAAAGCATGGTGAATGTGCTTTTGCAAATACAGATGATTTTAGAAATTTTTAATTAATGCAAACTTCTAAATTATCTGAAAAACCAATCATAACCTAGTTCCATCATTCATTCATTTATCCATCAAAAAATTACTTCTTGAGCGCACTACAGGTACTAGGGATACAGCAGGATAAGAGGTCCCTGCCTTCCCGGAGATTACATTTTACAAAAGGGCAAACTAAGGTTACTCAGCTAACTAGTGGCAGAGCCAGGACTACATCTAGGGCTCCAGTTCTCCAACGCAGGGTGCTTTCTACAACGTCCTGCTCTGGTGATGAGGACTGAACAGTACTTCATTTTTCTTCTGATCTGGCTTCCTATTACAGTTAGGACATTAAATAAAAATATAAACTGCCTAAACTACTTCAATAACTTATTATAAGTGAGACCAAACTTCTGTAAAAGAAAATTATTTCTAAGGTCTCATTCAGTTCTAATATTATAATTTATTCTAATTAACAACTCTGATATTAAACAGGCTGGCCTAATAAACACTCTGGCTCCCCATTCTGGCTAGTATTGGTATGGTTTCAAGAAAAATCTAACAATTTTAAATGTCAACATCTGCAGATCAGATTCATTTTTTCAATCAAAAGCAATTACATTAGATCGACAAATACGAAGTCTGTTTTTAAGAAATCAAGTTAGGATTTGGGCATTTGTTTAACGGATGTTAGCACATTACAGGCAATTTACCTTCTATTTTACTGTTTAGAATTTCAATATAGGATAAATTCCATTTACAACTAAATTTTGCATACGTTGGAGAGAAATGTACGCTGTATTATTTCAAAGATATTAAGAGAGATGACAAAAATAGCAGTATAAACGGACCTAAACAAAATATGCATACACTGAAGAGTGAGCATTAAAACATTTAATATCAAGTTAATAAATATTGGTTAATTAATTACCTAAAATGCAAAGATACTGTGGAGATACAAAGGAAGGCCACAAGCGGTCTAAATTCTGTTTAGCTAGGGCATCACTGTCCAATAGAAATGATAATGGAGATTTTCTACTTCTCTGCTGTCCCACATGGTAGCCACTATCTACGTATGGCTATGGAGCATTTCAACTGTGGCTAACATGACTAAGGAACTAAATATATAACTTCAACTGCTTTAAACAGCCACATGTGGCTAGTGTCTACCATAATGGACAGCAGAGATGCAGACACAGAAGACCAAAGTATAAAATAGGAGATATGCTACTCAAGGACAGAGGCTGTGTCTTATTTTTCTCTTTATTTTTTTTAATCTCACATCTAACAGTGCCTAACACACAGCAGGGATTTAAAAATGTTATTGCAATCTAAAGAGACAAGGTAAGAAAGGGTTAATTACCAGTGAGTGATAGAGACAACCCATGCTGCAAATTACATCTGTGGGCAGGTGGGGATGGGTGGGTATTAGAAGAAATAAGATTGGCCACGTGTTGAAAACTGCTGAAACCGGGTGAAAGGTAGAAGGGGGTTCATCATTTACACTATTCTCTCTACTCTTACAGGTATTTGAAATTTTACTAGAGTAAGTGAAATATTCTAAATTGATACTCCCATGATTTTTTAAAAAGTGTTAAAAATAACAAGAATGCTTCATTCAATTTAACTTACCCACATAGAGCCACCGAAAAAATGCTTTGAAATTTTTCATACTACTATCTATAACTCTAAAAAGATAAAAATAAAAGAAATCACAAATGAAATTATTACACGGGGTTCATATATCATTGTTCAATTGTCATGGCATATAATAATACTTATTGTTCTATTTTACCCTTTTCTGGAAGACATTTAAACCTTTAAAACAGCAGATTTTACAAATCAAACACATACCTAAAAATAAAATTTCAGAAGAGCAAATCCTGATTCTTTTCAAAAATAAAGCAAATAACTCAGATTCTAACCAGTTCTAATAGCCTTGCCACAAACTGTGTAACGGTCTTTCCTAGCATTCAGTAAAGTATGAAATCTTTCTCCAACTTTGCAAAGAAATCAGAAAAATACAGTTTTCAGCATTATTCTCAGTTTTTTTTTTGTTTTGTTTTTGTTTTTAAGATTTTTATTTTTTTCCTTTTTTCTCCCCAAAGCCCCCCGGTACATAGTTGTGCATTCTTTGTTGTGGGTTCTTTTAGTTGTGGCATGTGGGACGCTGCCTCAGCGTGGTCTGATGAGCAGTGCCATGTCCGCGCCCAGGATTCGAACCAACGAAACACTGGGCCGCCTGCAGCGGAGCACGCGAACTTAACCACTCGGCCACGGGGCCAGCCTCCATTATTCTCAGTTTTTAAAAAAAATACTGGTTAGGGGCCGGCCCCGTGTTTAACTCCGCTGCGGCGGCCCGGGGTTTCCCTGGTTCGGATGCTGGGCAAGGACACGGCACCACTTGTTAAGCCATGTTGAGGAGGCATCCCACATAGCACAACCAGAGGCACTCACAACTACGATATACAACTATGTACTGGGGGCTTTGGGGAGAAGGAAAAAAAACAAATGATTGGCAACAGTTGTTAGCTCAGGTGCCAATCTTTAAAAAAAAAGAATACTGGTCAGTAAGAAGGAAAAAAATCAACCCTAACAGAAAATCAATAATATAAATTTGTACTATGTCACTACCGCTGATCTCAATGGACATTATCTTTGGTAATCAATTTTTTTTTTCAGGAAGATTGTCCCTGAGCTAATATCTGTGCCAATCTTCCTCTAATTTATGCAGGATGCCACCACAGGGTAGCTTGATGAGCAGTGCCAGGTCGGTGCCCGGTACCCAAACCTAAAAACCCAGGGCCGCTGAAGTGGAGCGTGCAAACGTAACCACTACACCACCACACCACCAGGCCGGCCCCAGTAGTTGACTTTTGATCCTTACAATAACTGAGATCTCAAAAATTGAACTTCCTTGAGCTTTACACAAATGTATAAGTGGAAGTCATCTTCATTTTGATGAAACTGTTTCTGAATACAGAAATGGGTATCATTCTTAAAAAAGTCTCTTTAAGCTCACATCTATAAGATAATTACTCTAAGCAAATAACACCTGCACTTCTCATTCCTAAATCTCAAAGGCCAGAATACAATGGAGTGATCCTTTCAAAGCTCTATGAGAAAACGATTTCCTTTTCAGAATCCTATACTCCCTCAAAACCATCAATTAAAAGTGAAGGTTGGAGAAAAGATACAAAAGGATGCAGAAAGTTTATCTTTACATATCTGCTTTCTCAAGAAGTTACCGGAGGGTATTTTCCATCAGAAAGAGTAAATGAATCAAAAACAGAAGAGACGCTGGAAGTCTGAATCTAATTCATGAAAGCTGTGAAGAAAATGCCTGTGTGGCAGCTGGCGGGAGAGCTGAAACCCAACATCCAGACTGAGGCAGAGGGATGGAAGACTAACGAAGCAGGCATCAGGAACAGAGGGAACCCAAAGATATGCTACTACCCTCAAGACAGGGAAAGAACCTAAGGATGTGCTAAAAACGACAGACAATGCAAGAAAAAAGAAAGCAGATAAAGTCTAGGAAAACAAAACAAACTCAAACAAAGAATAATTTCTAAAACTTGGTAAATGAAAGAAATGCAGTATAATCATACAATTTAGAAAATATGCAGGTGATTTATAGAAGAACTGAAAACAGAAACAGTTACAAGAGTTAAAAGGATTCCCTCTGGAGAGAGGACTTAAGAGTGAGGATAGATGGGACAGGAAAATATGCTTTATCAAATTGCTCTGCTACCGGCTTGTTTTAATCAAGTAAAGGCATAATTTTCATAAAAACAAAAACTCATTTTAAGAAAATCATGACAATTTGCTAGGTTCTTATTTATAAGTAAAAGCCACATAAAATGGAGGAAGATTGGCACAGATGTTAGTTCAGCAACAATCGTCCTCACTAAATAAATAAATACATGAATAAAGTTTAAAAAGTAAAATAATCTCAGGTTAATGATTCCAGGCATCCCCAGTACTTACTGAAGAAGTTCATTTGCCTTGAGTATGAAAGAACCCACAGCCGTAATGGCATCTAAAGGGAAATAATTAAATATCATTTGTTAAATAAGTAAAGTGTGTTTAAGGTATTCTATTAAGAAATTAAATTACTACCTTCAATTCCTGCAGCATCTAGTCCAAGAGGTTCATATTTTTGCTTCCATGAAGCCATTCCTTTCAGTTCACTCAAATGGTATAATAAAGACTCTGAGCCACTAGCAAAACCGAGCAGAAATAAATTAGTATGGCAGCCATCATCAAGGTGGCAGGCAGCTACTACTCTGCCTGAACATTTCTAAATTTTCAGAAATAAAAACTGAAAGTAATTTTTTCTTTGTATGACAAATTATTTCTCAAAATTATCTCTAAAAACTGTAGATCATTTGGTTGTCACAACTACTGAGATGAGTACATGACCACAAGATTAAATTCTGTAAGATCAAATTACGTTCCACAGTTAGTCTTGGCCCTTTTAAGACAGTCATATGATCATCCTGTTCACCCAACAGCTATATATTCAATATTCAACATTCAAGAAATATTTATTAAGCTCCAACTTTAGGTCAGGCCCTGTGCTAGATACTGGGCACACATGGTGAACTAAACGCAAGGGTCCTCGTGGCACCGAAGCTAATGCGGGGATAGTCATAACCACACAATGAGACAGCGTATCATTTCAACCATCACAAATGCCTTGAAGGAAATGCAGAGTGCAGCTATAACAGAAGAATCTCATCTAATCTAATGGGGATTAGGGAAGGCGTCTCTGAACAAGTGATATCTGAGCTGAGAGCTGAAGAGTCTAAGTGAAGAGCAGGGTGGGAGTGTTCCAGAAGGCAAAAGGGATGTACAAACGCCCTGGGTAGGAGAAAAACTGTCACATTTGGGAAGGCCACCAGGGTGGGTGAAGCAGAAAGGCAGGTGTGCTAAAGGCTATGCAAAGGTCTTGGTGCTAAGAGCAATGGGAAGGCACTGCAAGTTCTCAAGCAAGAGCAACATGATCAGATGGCCTGTGGAGAAGACATCCGGGGGGGCACAGTGCGGACTGGAGGAGACCAGGCCAGAGGGTACGGCAGCAATCCGAGGGAGCGGTGATGCAGCTTGCTTCAGGGACTCAGCATACAGGGACTTATCAAAATTTAAGTCACACACTGAGCATCCACCTGCAAACTGCTTCACCGAGGCAGCTGTGGCTAGAAACAGCATGAGATGAAGATTGGGACAAAGTCTTGGTTCTGACACTTAGTAACTCTGGGCCAGCCACATGACCATTCTGAACTTCAGTTTCTTCTTGTGTAAAATGAGGATAATCATAACCAACATCTTGCTGAGGTGGTAAATGCAAAAATACATAATGTGCTTTGTAAACGATAGAATATAAAAATATACTTAATTTCACTGCTCAAAAAAGGGTATATGCCCTATTTAAAATATACTTCATGGTTTTCTGGTTGAGAAAAAAGCCCAGACAGGGCCTAGCCTGGAGAAAAGATGTTGGGAAATTTGTTCAGAAGGCAGAATTATATCATTACTGACTCTAAACCATGGGCACTCCAAGATTTCCCTCAGATGCCAAAGCAACAATTTTAGCTAGAAAAGGCTCAAAAAGAGAATGCCAGATGATGAAGAGAAGGTTGCAGAAAACAGACCGATGCCAAGTACGTGTAGATGCAATACCAAAAAATTCTGCATCACCTTCTTACCTCTGTAAGTGACTTATAACCAGTTTTTGTATACTGGAATACGATGACTCTATAGACTGGCCAAGTTTTTTTAAGCCCTAAATAAGAGAAGACAATACATTTAGCATACAAATAAGATACTATACACAATTCTAAAAAAAATTAAGAATGTGTTCACAGCCATTTAAATACAAAGATACTTTAACTGCACCTTCACTGTTAACTGGTTCATTAAGAGGGTCTGAAGCTCAGCACTACAATGAAAAAGAAGTATTTTTAGTCTTTTGTATTCAAATCTGAATGCATCACTTAAAACTTTTAAATGTCAAAGTATAAACAAGATTTTTAAAGAAAAATAAACAAAAAGAAATAGCCCAACAAAAATTAAGACTTTGTTGTACTCACAAAGGAACAGACAGAAAAGGAAACAAAGTCCAGAAACAGACTGAAGTATAGATGAGAATGTACTATATGCTAAAATGGCATTTCCTATCAGTAAGGAGAAAGTGTAATACTCGATAAGTTACACTCAATTATCTAAACATTTAGGAAAAAAGAAGTTAGTTTTCCACAGCATATAATCAAATAAAGCACATCTGGAACATGTAAATGGAATAAAACAAACCATAAAAAAAACTCTAGAAGAAAATACAGATCAATCTTTAAATACTCTTAAGATGGGAAAGGTCATTTTAAGAGTAATGCTAAGGAAAATACTATAAAAAAGACTGATTTGGCTATGTACAATTTTTAAAATTTTTATACATTTAAAAAATACATACACTATATATAGTATACTCACACAAAATAATCACATTTACATAAAAAAGTACGTGCAAAGAAAAGCCTGGAAAGATATATACTATTTTTTTTTGTTCTTGTGCACCAGAATTTTCTTTTTTTTTTACAATAGGAATTACTTCTGAAATAAAAAAACTACTTTACAAAAATAATGAAAAGCAAGAGTACTTAAGAGGAGTTTACCACCTTGCTTTGCCCCACAACAGCAAGTGCATGAACTCATCTTGCACTGATGTAGTTGTGTTCTTTTCCTAGACAAAATGATAAAATCATGATATGTATTTTTTAAATCACAAGCATATTTATTCAAAATTACAGGAGCACAACTCCTTTTCTTTTCCTTACCCTTCCTTCAAATCCATATGTAAACTGATTATCTGAATATCAGTTACTGGAAAACAGCCAGTCAGCTCTTCTAACACCTGCCCGTACTCCCCAAGCCCCACCTGTTCCACTTCACAGCCCTGTCTCCACCTAAGCTGCACCAGTGGGAAGAGACTCCTTTCCCTCTGAGCAAGTGGTTTGAGGTTAGACCAACACATTTGAAAGAAATCATGATCTTAGCCTTTTATGAATCAGATCGATTGTTCTCAAATACCTCATAATATAAATAAGGATATGCCTTCTTTAACTCCTTCTATGGGAAACACCAGTTACATTACCTGCACAAACTTGGTGAGACGAGAATCCATCTGCATTAGTATTTCTTCCCATGCTTCACACATACATGTCAGTGATAAATTTATATACTATTAGCAAGAAGAAAATATTAAAATAGTAAAAAAGATTTAAATCAATATGCTAACTAAATAATATGTACTTCTTACTGTCAATTGTCTCAAAAGAAATCCAGAATTCACTTTTAACTCAGTTAAGCCTAAGAGAGAGAAGACCATAGCTAACACCTGATAATCCCTTAACTATCAAACATTCTTAAGTTTTTATCTGGCAAAACAGATATCCTCCAGCTTTTTACTTGTAAGATATGTTTTATGTATACTAAGTGTTAAAATGCTGGTTTGGTCAGCTATTTGATTTTCAAACAGGATCCTTAAATAAGACACTGATTTCCAGAAATCTTTGACATCAAGTAAATCAGTGACTGAAAATAAAGGCCATGATTCTTTGCAGCTCCTCTATCCAGACGCAGAGTTGATTTCTCCAGTCCTTGAATCTGGGCGGGCCTCGTGTCTTGCTATGACCAACACAACGCAGCAGAAGTGACACTGTCAGTCCAAGGCCTCAAAAGGCTTTTTTGCACACTTCCACTCAACACCCCTGCCACTGCCACCACTTCTTAAACAAGCCTGGGCTAGCCTGCTGGGAGATGAGGAATGTAAAGCCTAGAGAAAGCCATGAGAGCTAAGGGACATTTAGATCAGCCGCTGACCACCAACGTACGGCCAAGCCCAGCCAATATTAGCTGAACCTGGCCCAGATCAACAGAACCTTACAGCTGAGCCCAGCCTGAATTGTAGACTAAAACACAGCCCCTACAGAATCATGAGCTAATTTGGGGCGAGTTTATCATGCACAAAAGCTAACTGATACGATGACTGTTTTCCATAATACTTTACTTGCAATAAAACTTTTAAAATTCCAAAATGTTATCTTGTTTGTGGGAATATTTTTAAAAATTTAAACCACTTTTTTCTTTCAAAGAAATAGAGATGGGTGGGAGTAGATTTTCAATTAAATTTCTTTTTCTTGCTTTAATGGATATATAAGATTATCAGACTAGACACCTCTACCACAGATAGATAGCTTTACAAAATAAAATTTTCATTTTTTTTATTTACAGAGCGTTAGAAATCTATAGTAAATATTCACATTAAACAAGCTACAAATAAATACCTGTAAAAGAGCCGAAATGTGAGTAAACTTTCTGGCCATTCGAGTTACTTCAGGTAGGAAAGAGTACAATAGATTGGTTTCAAGCTGTAAAAACAAAATAATGAAGTTAGTCATAATCAGATGCACTTACTTCTTTTAAAGATAAATCAGTCCCTCCCACTCAAAAAAAAAACCCTGTAACTGAGAAGAGTCAAGGTCCAGCTACATATCAGCAAGACTATCAGAGTTCCGCTCCCTTTGAGTGTTAACAGCCTGGAGATGAACAGAACATAACCTCAGCATTTTCTAATCTGCTGTGTTTAACTGCTCACAGATCACTCTCTCTAGGTTAGCAAATCCCCTCTACATAGCTGGAATAAACATAAGAATCTATTTCCTAACACTATTATGAGGAATTTAAAAAATGATCACAAACATGTAAAAATTTTTAAAGGAATTACAGGCTATTGCTAAATACAAATTAAATATCTATTACAATCGTATGTGAATTACATCTCAACAAAGCTGCTGTTAAAAAATACCTATTATACACTTCAAAGAAATAGTGAGTCATTTTATTACAGCACCAAATGCAATCCTGGAAATCACATTTTCACAGAACCTTAAGATGAAAAGCAAAGATGAACAAGCGTTCCAGAGAATCAGGAAGTCAAGAGTTCTCTGATGCTCTGAATGCAACAATAAACACTGGAAAGCACTATACACATTGCATCTTGCATCTTTTTTGTTCTACTTTTGTTTGAGAGTTCACGCATACTTAGGCTAAGTGGCTGGGTTATTTGAGATGAAAATTTGGGGAAGATTTTCTTGAAGGCAAGGCTACAATCTAAATATAGGAGGCCAAAGAGTTTCCACAATCTACTATACAAACAACACAATAAAAAAGGTTTTTCCCAACATTAAGTGACCATCTTACACAAGAAGCAATGCACTGGTTAAGAGAACCGACTCTGGAGCCAGACTGCCCAGCATCACTCTCCAATTCTGTGACACTGAGCAAGTTCCACAGTTTCTCTGTGTGCCCATTTACTGATCTATAAAATGGGGATGATAACTGTACTGACCTATTAGGTTACTGTGAGGATTCAAATGAATTAATTACATGGAATCGCTCAGTATTTGGCACATATTAAAGGAGTAATAAATATTAGCTTTTATTCTCAATTAATGTGGTCATTAATAGACTATCTACTGTTTTTATGAAAAACTATACTGGGCCATGGGAACAATAACAAGGTATTGACTATACTAAGATTCTGTATATAAGAATTAAAAGCTCCAAGTCAATTTTTTGGCTTTGTTTTGTTTCCAGGACCACTAGAATCCAGTGATATATATGATAAAAAGCTATAAAACCTTTAAAAAATATATTTACTCTCTACTGCTATAGGCTTCAGTACTCACCTGAAAGTATGAAACTTCTGAAGCACCAGTGGCAGAAACCTCTGTGACCACTGATAATGATTTCAAATCACTTGATAAACACAATGCAAGACAAGTACCAACAATCTGTAAAACAGGAAAATCCACCCAGTCTGTTTAGTATTATTGCTAGGTGGCATATGCCTAGGATAATACACGAAGCAGAAATCCAGAGCTCTGAGAAGTAGAAACACACACACCTAGCTACATACACCACATAGCAGATGAAGGTAGGCATCCACCTCGTCAAAGGACAGAAAAACACACACGCCCACCCCTCACCCCCATCATGGGTCCCAAACCAAGCACTGGAGAACCAACATATTCCACACAGTCTACGGTATTTTTTACCCGTTTAGGGAATGGTAAGAAGAAGATGAAAAAGCTATGGAGAAGACTGACTGAACAAGCACCGTAGACTCAGTACTGAGCATAAGACTGCGTCTGATAACTTTAATCACATTTCACTGACAAACCGGAGCTCCCATCTACCACAGGCTAGACAAACATTAAATCATAATCAAGTGTATCATCGCAATCTTTTGGTGAAGGAGAAAAAAACTTTAATTCCACTAATCTTCATGGATTATTTTATCTTACTAACAAAATTATCCTCAACACTTAAGAACAAATAATTCCAATAACTGAACCTGAGGAAAAAAAACAGTGTTTTATTCTTTTTCCATAAATCAGTTAGCTGCTATATTCTAAGGGACATGATACAAAAAATTTTCAAGAAAAGACTTACCCCTGTGACTCGAGCAATTTTGAACATTCCATAAGCATAAAGCTCAATAAATCCAGAGCCTCCTCCAAGGACGAGAATATTAAGCCTAATTAAAAGTAATTCAACAACTTGAGGACAACAGAGAAGAGGAGTTCTCAAACCAAGAGAGAAGCTGTTCTGCTCTCACGTCATCTGCGTGCTACGGCTTCCCCGTGAGGAGCTGAAACACCAAACAAACTCCCCAAAGCGCAACAGCCAATCACATTGGGCTTACTTTTTTTTTTCCCCAAAGGAACAACATAAATTTTTTCTAGCCTAAATTAAAAGCAGTTCACAGTAAAATAAAACTATACTATTTTAACAATGACTGTATTTATATACTCTCAATAACAAAACAATTCTTTTCACAGCTAATACCAAGCGCCATCAGTTTTATCATGGCTCAGATACTAAATGTATTAAATGGGTTTAAAGAACTTGAATACTTAAATTTAAATTTCTGAAATTAGTACTTCTATCCTCCTTTACTTATTAAAGTAAACAAAGGTACATTATAATATTATTAAAACTTGACAAAATCAAAGACCACAAAATAAAAACATGTTAATACCAGATATTAATTTGTCAGCAAGGAAATAATATGACAAATAAAGGAACTGACCTTAAAACTCTGCAAATTGCCTCAAATATTAATTTTAAGAAATTAGACTTGTTATTTAAGATATCTGCAAGATTTACCTGACGTCTCCCAAAAGCTTAATAATTTCATCAGAATTTTCTTCACTGAAATGTAAAAATAAATCGAGTTATCTTTCAACTCTTTTAAATAACAAAAGATTGTCTTACTTGAAAATAAAAAAAGCATAACTTACCTAAATATTTTTGAGGTGTTGCTATAACTAGAAAAACGGAGATTAGGGTAAAAAAATACTCTTAATAGAAACACATTTTTTAAAATGCACAAGAAAATTGTCACAGTGTTAAAAATAAAGGAAAGAGAAATCCACAAGATAAATCCCAGTGAAATTAAATTCTGATACTTACTTTTTTGGCAATGTAGGTAATTTAGGTAAGAGAAGATTTGATTCATCCTCGGCATTATAAAAGGATGTTAGAACACTAAAAAGAAAAAAAACAAGCATTATAAAAACACCAACTTTACTTCTCTTTCCAGTAAAAAAAAAAACGCTAATTTTTTAAAAAGCTGCCGAGTTTTATATATTATGCATTACCAAGTAAACAAATGCCACACATATTTTACCAGTGTAAAACAGTCACTGTAACAATCACAAATGAGAAACAGAAAAGTAGTAAATTCTTCCTTTATAAAGGGCTTTATTTCTGCAAAAAAATCAGCCTACCCACTTTACTTTTAGAGGAACAAATATTAAGAAGTAATTTCCTCAGCATATGAATTATTTAGATACTGAGAATTTATGATTTCTTAACTCTCATCTAAAAACCAACACTAAACATATGAGTATCAAGAGTACTTGTAAAGAACACTGCAATTATTATACCATTTAATTATGGGTTCTATGACTTATACACATATGGAGATTTGACAACCCAGCAAGTATACAAGACTACATCATGCGTGTCGAAAAAGTCTGATTTATCCCTTTTTCTTTCTTAATTCTACCTCCAAATAAGGTTGGAAATAAAGGAATGAGCAAGTGAAAAGGTAGTGACTCAACAAGCATTTTTTCCCACTTTAACACATAGCAGCTGTCCTGAGAGACTCTAGAATCTCCACCTAACGTGTCTAAACTGTCAGGAGAAAGAGTGTCAGGAATACACTTAGCAGGTAACTGGACTGGCACGGAAATCACACGGTACACTCTGCTTGCCGACCTATAAATTCACGTGATTGTCTGCAATCTGTGATTACTCCATGAAGGGTTAATCACTGTTTAGTCTACAGTGAATTCCAAACCCCAGGCTAGATCCTTGCTATCCAGTTCTTTCCAGGCCCCCCTACGGAAAGCTGTCAAATAATATTCAGCATTTACAAACTCATTTGCTATTAACTTAAAATTTAATTAGAAAGAAAAAGCTAATGGCGAGAAAATTATCACATTTCCTCAAAAAAGAAACAATTTTTTTTTCAGTATTAGCTAAACCCATGGATCCCTTAGGCCATCTTTACTACAAACCTGGTCTATTACTTGACTATGTAGACAAAGGTAAAATTATTTTCATGTAACAAGAAACCCACTGAGACCGTGGACACAGAAAGAATCCGGTCAGCATCAAAACAGAATGCTCAATTTAGCATTTTTCATCCTCTAAGAATACTTACTAAGACACAAAAAACCAAAGCTCCAGATGAAATATATAGTGAAAAGGAAAACAGAACTTCAATTTCCTAATCAGTAATTTTAATTAATTATTTGAAAGTATAAGTCATTAACATAAACTACTAAAAGTAACTAAAGAGAAAAGAAAAATCTTCGCCATTCAGGCATTATTATTTCAATAAGAAAACACATTTTTTCAGAGCAAAAAAAAACTATAACAAAGCATTAAAAAATTTCACCTTGATAAACTTAAAACAAAAAGGTAAATGCAACGCTCACATACTCAACATTCAGATACTCCTAAGTTTCCATTATGAAAAATGATAATTTCACCAACGTCCCATTGTGACTAGAGGAGTTCTTCTTTATTACTCTACCTGCTTTCCACAGTCACTTCCATCCAATGCATACAAGAAACTGGAGCTTCCACAGAAAAGGAGTGCAAGCTTTCAGGTTTTTCCACATCACACAAAACAATTTTTTTGGTATCAGCAAGAGCAAAGGCCAAAACTAAAAGAAGGTAAGAAGAAATAATCAGAATAAATTAGAGAAACATCTGAAAGGAGTAAATGGGTATTTCACGCCTTGCTCAGTTTTTTTATTTTAAATACACTGAAATCATAGGAACTATTTGAACTAAAAATCCTTCAAGTAATGTTTTAAAAACTAAAAAGATTCCTTGCACATAGTTACGCTATCATCTACGCTTATTCTGAAGCACTCAGATTCTCACAAGTGACCTACTTTCTCGTGTACAGTACTTAACACCCTACATTTCACAGCCTCTAGACTGGAACCCCACTGCCAAGCAGAAAACAGAACAAGTCTCAACAGACAGACATCAATATCGTATCACCAAGAGATACTGGTCCCGTAAACATGCCTAAAAGGTAAGAAGTGATTCCATCTGCCTTGTTCTGGAAAGGCTTTTTTTCCCCTTGTTTGTTTCCAACCCTTAGTGAGAAACAAGGCCATCAAACACTGATGAATCGTCTTCTTTGACTGTGGCTGAATTATCGCGTACCGTTTCTCTACGTAAGTTATTAACATCTCCTAACATATCAAATATAAGAATTTCTAAATAGAGGTCTGTGAGTTTCACCGTACACCAAGACATGCAACTTTGCTAGCTGTGAGGCAGCCCTGGCCTCCTCCTCTCCACAACAACTTAAAGCAATCTGGAAATAATTACCTAATGAAACCTTATTTTACTGTCCAAAAACAGGAGACATATTTTTTAATGATAAAAATATCATCTACTTAAATACATTTTAACACACAGTGACTTTCCTGACTTCTTTGTGACATCCTGCTGTTTGGGGATGAATAGTTCAAGATCTCAAAATGTTTACTTACAAAAGTCCTCTAATTTTACACATACTCTTTTGTCAAAAAATAAAAGATAAAACAGGAGCAGAACAAAATGTGTACAGATAGGAATAGCTATCTGTAAGTGATAGACTTTCAGGGCATTTTTACATACTTAGTCATATTTATCTAGGAAAAAATTAAGCAATGAGGAGTACAAACCATTTTACAAAAACAATTCCGCTTTTTTTCTTAAAACACCAATAATACAGATGAACTTGAAGCTGTACGATTTACAGTATTTTAATGTACTGACCATATGCGTACAACAGCTCAAATAACAACTGTCATTGTAAACAACACATGGAAGAGGAGAGTTCAGACATCAGAGCCCTAACAAGTTACAAGGTAACAAGCTACAACATAAAGGGCACCAGCAGGAGAAAGATCATAAAGAAATGCAAGGAACGGGGCCAGAGCTGACAGTCCTTCTGGTGAGGCAAACATACATGCAAAGAGAATATTTATGAACTACACATTTAATGCTAAATTACATTTTCGTGAGAAAAAGGCCATGACGGCACTGAAGTGACTGGGGAGTGGCAGGTGAAGCCTGGGCCTAATGGTGCAGGACAAGACAGCTGAAAGAACAAAACCAAAGTATTTTGCATTTCCCTCAGATTTCATTTTAGAGTTGTCTTTGCCAAGAAGTCAGATTTCATTTTAGAGATATCTATACCTAGAAACAAGATGCTAGAATTAATATGAGTTCTACGAAAATACTTCAAAGCATTCTAAAAAGCAAAGCTCCCCAAACTGGTACTTAGAATTCCAGTATATAACAGGAATAATAAATTCTGGAAATAAGCTTTCCTTACAGAATATTTTTGTGAAAAACAAAACAGTATTTTTTATAATACTATCATTACGTTTGCCATCTGGTCTCCAAGCCAGACACGTCACTTCCTTTCCTGTATTTTCATTCGGTGGAAAACTCCAAACTCGATGAAAACTTGCAAGTCGATGAAGTAAAACCTAAGACAAAACAGATATAATGGCAGAAAATAAAAATCCATTCCCGAAAATAAAATAAACCTGTATCTCCACTACAGATTTTTAAACTATCATCTCTTGAGTATAATACTTAGCTATCAGAAGAAATTAGAAGAATTCATTCTGTGTCTGCATGAACTTAAGATATTTTCAAAGAAATGGTGAAACAAGAAGGTCTAATTTAACCCTGTACCCTACACATTTTCCTATCTTTTATGTCAACAGGAAACTTACCTATTGAGAAGTCTGTCCAAGAAGATGACGAAAAGAAAGAACACAGATAGCACTAGAAAGGTAGCTGTAATATAGTCAAATAACACTAAACTTGGAATCAGACAACTTGGCATCTAGCTTCAGCTGTGTCACTTACTGGCCATGGATCTTGGACAAGTCACTTAGCCAATCTAAATGCCCATTTCTATACAGGTAAATTCCCACCTTGCAAGGTTAAGATGAAGCCCCTTGTGCTTCAAAACTAAGACTGCCCCTATTCCGTCCTCTATTATCACCACTGAAAATAAGGGAGAAAAGGACTCAGAATTGCACGTGCTCCTGAAGATCCCGCCACACCCTAGTTCCCCACACTCACAGCTTTACCACCACTCTCTGCCCGCACAACGTCCTTCACTCCTGGTTACATCAATCACCATAGGGAAGCCGGGATGCCCAAGGAATCGCTCATCCCTGAGACTCAGTGCTCTTTCCTGAGCCCCCCTCTGCCACTCCTTACACCTGAAGCCCTTCCTCTGTGCTCCAGAATTCACGGTCAGGTATCGTCAGGATCCCCTACACCTTCATTCTCTTCTCTGAACTGTGCTTCTCACCAAGGACACTGCTTCCCTGCGGCAGTCTCAGGCAGTGGCTGTTGTGCAGCCCACATCCCCTGGACTAGCGCTGGGCTGAGATGAAGTAGGTTTCCTCCTTGATGCTCCATGCCATTGCTGGATGATTTTTCTTCTCTAAAATCCTCTAAATTTGAATCACATGCAACCAGACCATACCACCCGCTATTCCTTTTAACTGGAGTCATCTACAGACCCCTAGGCCGTTCCCCTCATTCCTTGAAGATTTGAACTCCTGGCTCACTCACTGTTTCCCATACTATTCATCATCATTCTTTGTGATTTCAACAACTACAAAATCCTGGCTTTTTAGTTCTAAAATAGCTCTCCTCCAATGATCACATCTTCTACCTGACTTCAGTCACTCCCAGGGTCACGCCCTTGACCTTACCATTTTCAACAACTACAATGCTACCATAACCTGTTTCAAACCTCCTGCTTTCCATCCACCACCTCTATCTTTCCAGCTCATCCCTACTAATACTCAACTCCAATTCTTCAACCTCACCAAGCCTTACAACCTATTGATTCTACCATCTATTCGTTGTTTTTCACCCCACCCGTGCCCTCATTTGCCTCCTTAATAAGGTTAGAATCCAGGGTTCATCATTGCAATAACTCCTGTTCCATATAACTTAACTTTCTTGTATCTCTCTTGCTTTATCATACTTCCAAAATAACCCTGCTTAAACCCAACCATGCCTGCACCCACAGAGCTGAACAGAATAGCAAAGACACATACAGTCACGCTCACTGGTTTCCCTCAAACTACAACACACTAAACTTGGGTGGCTCTTAACACTAACCAGCAATCTTACTAGGTTTCCCCAGTCCACCTGCCTCGTCAGCTTTCTCATACCTCTCCTTTCTCCACAAACTTCCAATATTTTCTTCTCCATCCTCACTCCTAGGTAGTGCTCCTTCTTCACTGAGAAAATGGAACTAACAAGTGCCCACTATCACATCTAACGGATCACAGTGATGCCCCTATTCTCTCCCTTCCCTCCTGTTGCTGTGGCTGTACTATCTGCACCCCTCTCTAGAGCCATGACAGACTCCAAAGCACCCTGGCAGAGGAGGGAGACTAGATGATCTGATGGAGGGCCTGAGAAAGTGGACATCAATAACCTGGGGACGGGGTCATGGCAGGGAACACAGCGATGCAGCTTTGAAAGCGGCTAAGTTTCTCTGGTTGCCCAGTTTTCCTAATCACCTCGTTTCCAAGTTTGGCTGCACCCAACACAAGTCTCACCTGGCCAGTTAACAATCAGGCAACCCACCAAAAGGCCAAAGGAGGAAAGATGCACAGGTGAAGGTTTCCTTACAAAACTGCTGTCAGGAACAAATAACTCTAAGCAGAAAGTTGGGCACAACCGGGTTATACTTGATGAAGTGTGATACAGCCTGAACTAGAAATGCTGACAACACTCATGCACATCCCATCAGCAATTCAGGAAAGCTTCACTCCCTGTTTAATTTAAAGGGATTTTTAATGGGATGTGGCTATCCAACACACAGTATAAAATATGGACAACAGAATAAAGATTCTTAAACATATCCTCTGTGGCAGCTACATGCGTGCACATTTGCAGCTAAAGTTTGACAATAACTCATCTTTCTCCTGCTACTCAACTGTAGGCAAACTTGGGACAGTGTCTGTGGATCTACTACTATGTCTAGCTCATGAGTGACACACCGTGGGCTTTTAAAAAGCCCATTTAACAAATAAGTGACTAAAAAGACTTGGGGATGCAGGATTGTATGATCACGTTAAGCTATGCGAAAACTGTTGTTTTCGCCATACAATAAGGCAAATGGGCATATAAGTTATTTTTCCCGTATGTGGTCCCCTATACTTTCACTTATAGTTTATAGATGGCCTGGAAGGGAGGGGCGGGGTAGACAGCTGGCCCGGCAAGTCCACAGAAGGGGAAACTGAGGCCACGGCAGTCTGTGACGCGCTGGCTGCCCTCAGGCTCCACGCCGGCTCACTCACCTCGCCCGCAGTGTTGGCCAAGGCAATGAGATCCCGCTTGGGTGACCAGACCAGGAAAATGATCTCCTGCGGCAGCTGCTTCTCTCCCACCACCCGGAAGGACGGGAAACAGGTCGGAAAGCGCAACATGGGGGCGGCCCTGCAACGACACCCCAGTCGGAGGCCGGCAGGGGCCACCGGCCCGCCCTCGCCCCCAGCCCTCTCCGGAGAGCCCCCACCGCAGCGGTACCTGCGGGACGCCCCGCGACAGCCGACGCAGCCAGGGAAGCCTCGCTCCCTCCCTCTGCCTGCCGCGCGCCTACGGTCTGCGCAGCCTCACCGCCGCCGCCGCCGCCGCGCGCGCCGGGCACTTCCGGCGCCCGCACTTCCTCGCGAGAGGAAGGAGGCTGCGCGAAGGGGCGCGCGGGCTGGATCTGGATGCGGGGGCTGGGATGCGGGGGCTGGCACGCGGGCTGGAGGAGGGTGGACGAGGGCAGGTCCGAGTCTCTAAGACCGCTCGCCAGTCTGCAGGAAAGGCGAGTATACAGGTGTGTGTGCGTGCCCACAGTGCTTTTCCGTTTTCCCGGAAATTCTCTGATATGGGTGAATGGACAGTCATAGGTCTAGGGGTGAGGCCTCAGAGACGAAGGGGAGACGGAAAAGAATGCCAACTGGAGGTCCTGATCAGCGGGAGCCCCGTTTGACAGCCTCTAAACCGGTAGTTCTCAGTCCTGGTTGCTCAGTAGAATCACCTGGAGAGAATTGTTTAAACCTCCTGCCTGGACAGCACCCCAGACCAAGTAAAAGAGAATTAATACGGAATGGGACCCAGTATTTATTAAAACTGTAGGGGATTCCAATTTGCAGCCAAGGTGGGAGGACCCTGCGCTAAAACCTCTGACACAGGCAAATATATCGATTATTTATCCCATTTAAGCCTCACAACTTATTGGTAGTAGTAGCCCCACCATAACAAATGAGGACTGTGGGCTCACCCAACATCTATCCCATACCTCTTTGAGCACCTAGTGTGTGAAAGAATCTGGGACTACACATATGCACGGAGCGTGGGTTCTGCCCTAAAAGGCTCACTGGTCAGCCTGGCGGACATGTAAATCAGAACCCGTCTGATGCTTCTTTAAACAGGACACATTTAAATGTGTCAATATGCTCGAAGGTTCCCACAAGTTATGACCTGGGTTGAGAATGTGCCAGTATCATCCTGTGATGCTTGAACTTAAAATCTATGGTAGAAAGCCATCTGCCTTACACTTCTACTTGTTCAAAGGCGAAAGAGGCAGCGTGATCTTCCACTTTCAACAGTCCCTATCTTCTTCTGGACTTCTGGACCTTCTACCATCTGGACCTCGCCTCTGGGAAGTAGCTGACAGAGGTAGACTCATTCATCCAGCAACAAATATTCCAGGCACTATTTTGTGCCAGGCACTGTTCTTAACTCTAGACTTTCATGTTTACCCTGCTCTCTCTCAGAGATGGGGTTTTTCCCGTGCCTTTGCTGCAGACAATGTAGCATGTCCTCCAGATTCTTCCGAAGGCAGCATTTCTGAAGTGAGAATGGACTTGCCTTTGTTATTCATGAAATGCATTTTCAGGTGTTTTTGTTCTGGGCTGGCAATAATGGATAATCTGGATGGTGGGAGTCCAACATGTATACACCTAACATTCACCTGGAAATTGAATGCCCATTTTCCTGAAACTTATCCTGAATATGAACCCTCATACAACACATGAAAAGGACTGTTAATAGAGGTATACACACACAGTGCTACAGGACATGCACATTATGAAGCCTTCACAGAAACGTATGAATTTCCCAGAAGGTATTACAGCACAGGAAACAGCATAGGTTCCAGATGTGGCCAGGAAACAGCAAATACTTTTATGTGGCCGTGGCACCTCGTGTGTGTTGGTGGGAGTGGGGGGCAGGGATTGTTAGTGGAAATGATCAAAGGCAGCCATAGGACAAGAGGTATTAACACACAGCGTTACCGGCCTTTGCTTTCTCCCACTGCCCCATAAAGGAGATTTTAGCTTTACTCACTCCATTTCTTTGCCTTCCCCATTCTCTAAGAAAAACACTGCTTAGTCAAATTGGTTTACTTGTGCTTCTAGGGCACAGAATCAAGAGAAAAGGGGAATGCCAGAGATCAGGCATCAGTGCTTTTCAAGGAGGCAAGAGCAGGAGATATAAATATAGGGAAAATGAGAGGGGCATGCGGAGGGAAACAAAAGAGAAAATAGACTTTAAAAAGAATTTCCACACTCTGTGTACCCTCTCTCTAGTGCTTGAAAAAGAAAAATGGAAGAACTAGTTTTTTTGAAATAACTTTTTGGTAGCGAGGCTGTTTCTTTGATCACTATACCCCTTAGGCAAGTTCATACTGAGGCCTTCTTTCCACATGGTATGGTATGGGGTTGGATTTTGAAAGGCCAGGCAGCTGCCAACAGAGATTGGGAGTGGGGCGGGGGATGTTTTTGACAGCCTCACGCTGGTTCATTGGTTATTCAGGACCTTAATTCCTGTGACAAGGGTGATGAGGGGTTGAAAAGGAAGAACTGGAGATGTAAAGATGCCAGGAAGACTAGTTGGGCTGGGGCGGGCAATTCCAGAGACATTTCTGAAGGAGAATAACAAGAGCTGATTGTTTATTAGATTAGAGGAATGAAAGCAAGGGTTGGGATATTTGGGTGCACAGACTCAGGGGATACAGAACTGGTTATTGTTGGATTAGGGGTCAGGGTATGAAGGAAGTATGAGGGGGAAGGGAGGGAAAGTAGACCAGAGCAAAGGAGTTCAGTGAGGACTACCTTCAGGTGGAGGGGTGGTGTGCAAATCTATCTGTGATGGCAAACAGGCAGCTGGAAAGGTAGGTTTGAAGGGGAAAGGTCAGGGCCTGAGCAAAGGTGGGAATCCCTGTGTCCAGGGATGGAAGATGTAGTGTGTGGGATGTGACTAATCTAGGCCATGTGAAAGGCTGTTATTTTGAAAGGTCTATTTTGAAGTCATAAAATAGGTGAAACATACAAAATAAGCAAATTGAATTTGCTGGAAAGAGAAATAAATGTAGATGGTTGGTGTTAGAACTTCTCTGCCCTACTAAGTTTGCATTCATTAGGCAACAAAAAAACCCCAACTCAAAGCAGCACAAGTAATAACTAGAATGTAGAGTTATGTGCCACATAACGATGGACCACATATTCAACAGTGGTCCCATAAGATTAGTACCATATAGCCTAGGTGTGTAGTCGGCTATACCATATAGGTTTGTGTAAGTACACTCTATGATGTTCGTGCAACAATGAAATCGCCTTACTGCACGTTTCTCAGAACGTATCCCCATCATTAAGCAATGCATGACTCTACTGGCTCATGTATGTTACAAGTCCAGCAGTAACGCCAACTTCAGGGCACGCTAGATCCAGCAACTTGGTGTCACCAGGAGCCCTGCTCATGGTGTGCCTCATAAGGCTGTCTTCCCATGTGGTTACTGGAAGACTGACAACAGCAACTGGAGCTACATACTTCCTCATTCAGAGGGACAACGAATGGTTCTTCAGTGATCACAGGACAAGTCCTGAGCCTTGTTGTGATTAGACCAACATCACAAGTGTAGCTGAAATCAATCACAGATAAAGGGGATAGAATTATGCCCAATAAAAAGTTCTACCCGGAGAGCTAGAGAGGATGTCAGTCATCCCTCTCCCAAATCCCATAGCAGGCACAGTGGGGAGGGCAGGAATGATGCTGCTGAAGCAACCATTCAACAGTGTTCAATTTAACAATCCATCATCACTACTCAAAGGGGAGTTTTAAGTATGAAATGCATTTGGGAGATGTTCCATCCTGGCAGAGTGCAACGAAATTGTATCAATTCAGTGTTTTATCTCCCACAACCACTTCAGTTGCTGTTCTGGGAAAGAAATTCAGAGACCAACTCATGCGACTCCTGTCAGGAGGAAGAAGTTCTAATAAGACCTATAGAACCAGTATTTGTATGTATAGGAATTTATCCTAAGGAAATAAAAGATTTAGCATGTTCATCATAGGGTCATTTACAATAGGGAAAAAATGCAAACAACTTAGATGTCCAACCATAGGAGACTGATTTTTTTTAAAATATGGTACATCCATACTGAAGAATATTATTATTGTTGTATATATAAAGTGATGTTCACAGTATGTTTATAAAAAAAGAGGATTACAAAATAGTATGAATCTATAATTCCATTTTTTGTGGGGGAAATTTTAAGGTGTATCTGTCTGTATAGCTATTTAGACAAGACTCTATCTGTAAGAACATACACAGAAGTTGTGAGTGGTTACCTCTGGGTGGTAGGATTAGAGTTGCTCTTCATTTTCTTTGATTTACCTGGCTCATGTATTATTTGTAAAGTTAATAGGCAGGGCCCTTAGTTTCCTTTGTCCTCCTTAAACATGTAGAATGTTTAGACTATCTCTAGGTTCCTCCCACTCCTCACCTCCACATTTGCAGATAAAGAAACTGGGCCATCTATTCAGGCTTAGTTTCTAAGAGAACACTGGATGTTACACTTCTAGTCTGCAGGGGTGTTAAGCAACTAAACAATGTAAGAATCTTATGACTGTCCAGATAATGTCCAGGGATAAAACTCATCTCTCAGAGCTTTAAGAGCTGCTTGCTCACTTTTGCTGCTTTTTTCCCTCAGTCTTGCTGAGTTAACATTTATACTAAATCACCTGAAATCAAATAGTAGAGATCTTATCTTCACATTATTGCAATGACCTTCTTAGCTGAACCTCAAGTAATTTAACCCATGTCCTAATGTTCAAATTAAAATCAAATCAAATAAGTGAAATTAGATTTTCCTTTGCATTTTGAGCAAGCTTTCCTTACGTAGGCAGCTCTAAGCATATTAGCTTCTTACTCACATAGCAGTTAGGGTTTTGAGACATAAAGTGGTATATTAAATGGCACTTCCCTTCACTCAGTCTGTACTTATGAGCAGCTACTACTCAGAGGGTGAAGAAACGTGCCCGCCTGGCCACCTGCTCCCCAGGGTTGTGGGAGGAGGAATGAGGTCATACGTGCTGCTGTTGGTTGTCACCGTGTGCAGGGCACAGCTCGAGGAGCCAGTAAACACACATAATAATGTCCACAGGCCCCTGACGTCAACAAGCTTCTAATCTGTACAGGGGAAACAAGTACAAAAAGTCGTTCTGTTACAGGGCATGATTTAAGTACCTTAGAAGTATAAATGAAAAGACACAAACACGCACAATTTTTATTTCACTGGCAAGAGATATACTGTTCTACTGGAGACACCAACAAGGACAGCACGAAGGAAGTGGCATCAGACCAGGACCTTCTGTAGGCTGTGATTTTATGTTTAAAAATTGGTCAGACTTCTTCCAGCTGTCTAGTATTTTATAGATTGCTTCGAAGGGGCCAGACATCAACTTAAGTGTTTTCCTTAAAATAACCTTGAAAGCTGAATGGTTGTAAGTGTAAAGACTCCCAGATCAGGCTGCCAATCTTGTTTACACAGCACATCCCAACATTTAAACCCTCAATGTTAGGATAGTCCTCCTATTGACTCTAAATTCCTTCCAATATTGTTTAGGTCCATCTTCCTTTTTTCAGTACTTATAAGAAAGAGAACAGAGCAAATCCTTTCCATATCTTAGGCATGCCTTCTGTTATGGTCTGAATTATGTCCCCAAAAATCTATATATTGAAGCCCTAACCCCCAGTACCTCAGAATAGGACTATATTTGGAAATAGAGCCTTTAAAAAGGAGACTGAGGTAAAATGAGGCCATTAGGATGGGCCCTAATCCAGTCTGACTGGTATCCTTATAAGAAGGAAATTTGGACACAAAGAGACACCAGTGATGCACACACACAGAAGAAAGACCATGTGAAGATATGGTGAGAAGGCAGCCATCTGCAAGCTATGGACAGAGGTTAGGAAGAATCAAACCTGCCAACACTTTATCTTGGACTTCCAGCCTCCAGAACTGAGAGAAAATAAATCATTGTTGTATAAGCCACTCAGTCTAAGATATTTTGTTATGACAGCCCTAGCAAAGTAATGCACCCACCACGTGAAACATCTAGAAAATTCCATGCTTTCATCAAATTTTTATTAAGTACCTACAATGCATGAGACACATAATAGTGTATAAAATGGGTGCTGACATTAAAAAATTGAAATCTTATGGGGAAATAGAATCTGTGAATATAATCACAGAATAATACATGAAAAGTGCCTCAAGTCTGGTGCAGAATGCCAAGGGTTTCAGAGGGAAGGGTATTGGTTGGTATCAGGGACTCACTGCAAGAATTCCCAGAAGAGAAGGGGACTTAGGCCAAGGCCTGAAGTCTCCATAAGA